TGTAGATTTTTTGAATTATACTTATATTTTCTTTTATTTCCACAAGTACAACACAACATATACACATTCACAAATCTTAATTACAGGTTCACTCATCCAATTTTACAAGTCACAGATTCAAAATCTGACACCCTCTCATTTTTACTCCAATTGTTGCAGCATATTTGGTGCAAAACATATTTGTGCTACTGTATGGAGCAATGTGAAGTTGTGGACAAATTTTAAATATGTCCAGATCTTTATGTACTTGTGCAAAAAATGTTACATTTATGTACAATAAGCTTTCACAAAAACGTTTGTGTTGTTTTCAAAACACAAATGCAAATCGATAATTACAACTGCTGGAATCAGCTACAAATAATGGAGTCGCTGAGCTTTTCGGTGCAAAAGGCGGTTGCTGATTGGAGATTGACGGCTCTTCAACCAATCAGAGATGATAGCATTTCGTCTTGCAGCCAATCAGAGGAGACAACACTCTCTATACGGAGAGTGAGAGTCTCTTATAGATATCTATGATTCTTTGCCCCTCGCGGTTTGTGACAGCTTCGACACTAGCATCAGCGAGCTGGCTTCAGTCAGAATAGATACCTCAGTTTATAACAGCCATACACTTTTCTCCTGAAGGGAGTGCTTCCACCGACTGAAGCAGAGCGCCGGTAAGTCAAGAGAATGGCACCCAGTTTTACGATTAAAGGTTCTGACCACAGTTTAATTGTAAAACTGGAACAGAGTTATACAAGGCTTGACTGAATATGAATATTTCATTGTTGAAATTAAAACGCTGAACACAAACGCTATTATTCATTGTCATTGACATTGACAATGTGTAGGCTTAATTTTAATCAATTTATTTTGTAAAATGAATGAAGTAAATCCCCCCCTGACACTTTGAAAAGTCAGACAACCATAATTTTGACCAGGTGGTGGCATTCTCTGTGGCCCAAAATGTCTAACCATGCTGGGCAGGAGCTCTGGCGAATGCCTCGGCATTAGCCCTGGAGACTGCAGCTAGCTATCCTGTCACATCGCCAGTTTTTAGTTACACTTGCACAGTACAGTAATCCTACAGTACTCCTCTGATTGGCTGTGAGATGAAATGCTATCCCCTCTGGTTGTAAAAGCCCTCAATCTCAGATCTTTAAATATTCTTTTTTTTTTTCAAAACTTCACATTGCTTCATACAGGTGCCCAAATATGTTTTGCACCAAATATACTGCAACAATTGGAGCAAAAATGTGAGGGTGTCAGAGTTTGAATCTGTGACTTGTAAAACTGGATTAGTGAAGCTGTAATTAAGATTTGTGAATGTGTAAATGTTGTGTTGTACTTGTGGAAATAAAATTTTTTACAAGTACAACACAAAAAATCTACAAGTACACAACTCATAGAGTGTGGATTTCACATTTACTAATACACTTGCACAATCACTGTATACAACTACAAAAAACATGTTACAGATGCACAAACCTTTTGCACCAAAAATACCTTCATACATTTGTCCTCAGTCTGTCGGATGCAGTGGACAGTTTCTACTCTGTGCTAGTGACTTGAGAAATGCTCCCACTGGGTAGAAAACAGCAGACTATTTCCCAGTTGACTGCACAAATATGTATTCATGTTATATTAAATTTTGTTTTAGTTGTTGCTAATTATTTATCTCACAGGTTGCTACGACGAATTTGGTGGAGTTTTGCTGCTTCCTCAAAGTCTACCACTGTGTCTTGAAACCTGACACCACAGCATCAGTGCATCTTGGCTCATTTACATACTACACAGTGATTGGATGTTTACGGTTGGGGACAGGGGAGGCGATCTCTGACTGCAGGGTGTGTGAAGACACACGCTGCACGGAGATGAGAGATGAGCGGAGGCTAATAATAAACTTGTGCTTTTTCGGCAGATTTTCCACTTCTAAAAATTTGATTTGAGGGGGCAGGCCATTTGTTTGTTGCACCCTCTTGCCCCAGCGTAGAACCGGCCTTGCCTGAAACTGATTGCAGTTGCTGTATTTGTGTCTGTATTTAGCATGTTTGAAAGGCATGTTCAAACTGGCACAGCATTATGCACAAATGGCTACAGTCATTGTAGGAAGGAGACATGGGTGCAATGACAGACAATGGAGAGAGAGAGTCTTCCGTGTGCGTATTAACATTTTTGGACTGTCAGAAATGAAAATAGTAGAGTAATAATAATAGAAATAGTAATGTCATTTTTGAACTGCTGGACAACCTACGGGCAGATTTGGAGGCAGTCACAAAAAGGATCCATGCCATATCTCCTACAGTAAAACCAGGGGTCAGCAACTTGTGGCTCTGGAGCCGCATGTGGCTCTTTCTTCCCTAAGCTGCAGCTCCCTGTGGATTTCGAAAATAAATAATAAATATTTATTTTAAATTTATTTTAAGTTTTTTTTTTTTTTGTTAATTTTTTTATCGTTCAAAATATGCATCATAACTGCCGACTTGGGAAAACCGAAAACCTGTGTGAAGATGAATATTTTTGTTTGCCTGCAGCAATAACATTCCTTGTTCTCTGCAGCAGTTAATTTATTTCATAAATGCAACTCACTACAGTTTTTTATATACTTTGCATAAAGGTAAAGAAACGATATGTGCAATGTTATCTTCATTTTAGATGTCAAGGGGGTTTTGTGGCTCCCTGTGTTTTCTTTTCTGTGGGAAACTGGTCCAAATGGCTCTTTGAGTGTTTAAGTGTTTAAGGCAAGTAAAAAAAAGCTTGTTTGAAACTTTTGCAAATTTATCAAAAATTAAAAACAAAAATAGAACATGTACATAAGTATTCAAAATGTTTGCTCAGTACTTTACAGATGCACCTTTGGCAGCAATTACAGTCTCTAGTCTTTTTGAGGATGATGCAACAAGCTTGGCACACCTGATTTTGGGCAGGTTCTCCCATCCTTTTTTGCAGAACCTCTCAAGCTCCATTAAGTTGGAAAGGGAGCGTTGGTGCACAGCCATTGTCAGATCTCTCCAGAGATGTTCAATTCGGTTCAAATTTAAAGTCTGACTGGGCCACTCAAGGACATTCATAGAGTCGTTCTGAAGCTCCTGCTGTGTTATCTTGGCTGTGTGCTTATAGGGTTCTTGTCCTGTTGAAAGATAAATCCCCACCCCAGTCCGAGATCCAGAGTGCTCTGGAGCAGGTTATCCTCCAGGATGTCTCAGTACATTGCTGCTTTCATCTTTCCCTCCACCCTAGTCTCCCAATTCCTGCTGCTGAAAAACATTTCCACAGCATGATGCTGCCTCCACCACGCTTCACCGTAGGGATGGTATTGGAAAGGAAATGAGTGGTGCTTGGTTACCTTCAGACATGACGCTTGGCATTCAGGCCAAAGAGTTCGATCTTTGTTTCATCAGACCAGAGAGTTTTGTTTCCCATGGTCTGACAGTCCTTCAGGTGCCTTTAGGTACTCTCCGAGTAGGCTGTCCTTTGCCCTTTACTGAGAAGTGGCTTCAGTTGGGCTACTCTTCCATACAGGCCTGATTGGTGGAGTGCTGCAGAAATGATTGTCCTTCTGGAAGGTTCTCCTCTCTCCACACAGCAATGCTGGAGCTCCATTAAAGTGACCATTGGGTTCTTGATCACCTCCCTGACTCCACTGCGATCACTCAGATTGTCCAGGCAGCCAGCTCTAGGAAGAGTCCACATGGTTCCAAACTTCTTTCATTTACGGATCCCGGAGACCATTGTGCTCATTTGGACCTTCAATGCTGCAGACATGTTTCTGTAACCTTCCCTAGATCTGTGCCTCGATACAATCCTGTCTCGGAGGTCTACAGACAGTTCCTTGTACTTCATGACTTGGTTTGTGCTCTGACATGCACTGTTAGGCTGTATTGGCTGAGTGAGATCGTGTTGGTTCGTTCCACTTTAGTGTTGCAACATAAACTGTGATTCATAAAATAGCTCTATTGATAGTAAGTACTAAAAAAAAATATCTACTCATGCCATCCAGTTGATTTTTTAGTAATCAGTGTTTCGGTGTCGAACTATTTCCTCTCTGTGGCATAGTGATACTTGCACACGCGCAATCAAATATGCAAAGGGGTCAAGCAATTTTTGTCACGTGGACCAATAGGAGCCGAGTCTCGCCATCGTATCAGAACTACACAAACATGGCGACGAGCGCATCTAGCAGCGAGACAAGCGAAGAGGAAGAAAAGGAAAAAAAGAAAACAGCCTTCAAAAGTGCATAAAAAGGGAACGAAACGATGCTATATGCATCTCTTGTCTCGCTGCTTGATGGGCTCGTCGCCATGTTTGTGTTGTTCTGATACTATGGCAACAAGACTTGGCTCCCATTGGTCCACGTGACAAAAATCGCCTCACCCCTTTGCATATTTGATTGCGCCTGTGCAAGTATCACTACGCTGCAGAAAAGGAAGTAGTTTGACACCGAAACACTGATTACTAAAAATCAACTGGATGGCATGAGTAGGTTTTTTTTTTTAGTACTTACTATCAATAGAGCTATTTTATGAATCAAAGTTTATGTTGCACCAGCGTAGTCAAACGAAATTCACTTTCTAGGCACTTTTTCCCTTGTCCCAATACAGCCTATGTCAGCTATCAGACCTTATTCAGCCAGGTGTGTGCCTTTCCAAATTATGTTTAAACTCCTGAATTTACCACAGATGGACTACAATCAAGTTGTGGAAACATCTGAAGCATAATGAGTGGAAACAGGAGGCACCTAAATTCAATTTCAAGTGTCATAGCAAATGCTGTGAATACCTGTGTACATGTTATATTTTTGCTTTTTTATTTTTAATAAATTTGCAAGTTTCTTACACACTTTTTTCACTTTGTCATTACAGGTAATTGAGTGCCAAATTTTGACATAAAACAATAAAAGAAAATGTGAAAGAAAAAGTGTAGCACTCTGTTTTCAAAGCAGTGGTTTCTACAGTGCATCCTGAAAGTATTCAGACAGTTGCTTGGATTATGGGTCTCTTCACTGTTTTTAGGCAACAGCTCTTGAATATCAATCTACAAGAGTTGTCTACTTACTTGATCCTTTACTGTTTGAACATGAGAGAGGAGATGACAGCAGAGTCGACCAAAAGAAGAAACAAAAACCTATAGGTTACAACCAAATGGTAGGCATAAATTGACAAGTTAATTGAAGTTGAAAAATTAAATGATGAGGACACAGACTAAGATTTGGCAATGCTGAACTGACACTGCAACTTGATTTATTACATGTGGTAATACACTCAAACAATCAATCTGGTTTGTGCAGTATAATTGTGATCTCAACATCAAATAAACATTAAAACAATTATACATGTACCAAACTCATATTGTTGCAGTGGATATAACTGGTTAAATGTGAGCCCTAACAGTACATTTTTAGGGGGCTCCAGAGTGACCATGGACATGGAATCAGTGCAAACTGCTGAGGATAAATTGTGAATCAATTTGATTTGATTTGTGGGATTATGTTGTTCCTAGCAGTTCTTTGTTGATGACATATAACACACCCTTGCCATGGGATGTGTACCTATCAGGATAAAGTATTAAACAAAAGCTTGCGAACAGGGGATATCATTAAACAGGTTTTTTGTGGAGGGAAGCATTGGGAAGCTGAGCAGGGTAAGGCAAACAAGACAAGCTCCATCAAAATTATCAAAACATTAAGCATAATACTGGTTCAAAATAAAGGTTGATACTTGCTTTTGTGCCCAAAGGCGATCATGGCAGTCTTTTGGAAGCTGTCCAAGTATGTTTGTCCTGTTTGTTCTGAAGTCCACAGAAATAGGAAAGGTGAATCATCCATCTCAGGCCTTTTCATAATGGTGATGTACTATCTGACCATCCATCCCCTCTCTCTGCACCACAGAAAAGCTATCCATTCATCCCAACTACACTGCAACTTGACCAACCATCTATCTTCAGCTTGCTGCAAACCTACATTAGCATCAAAGCACAATACATCTTAGTTGGATTCAGAATACAAAGCAACAGAACCCCAAGCGCAGCGGCAGCATCATAGTAGAAGGAAAAGTGGTCCTGGCCAAGTGGGCCCCAAGGGGAGGGGGGCCCTTAAAAAGCCTGAAATATACATAACATTTTATAAACACTCCATCTTTCATCAAGTTATATTTAAACTTCTAATGAATTTCGCCCAGAAAGCTGTTCTAGAAGATTTTGGCTCGCTCTTTTGTATGCTTTGGACACAGGATGATAGACAAAAAAATCTTTCAATAGGTTTAATGAAATGTTTATATGTGATGAAAAATAAAGACAGTATTAATATTTAATATTAAGTATTTTTTGTCACTTTTTTGTAAACTTTAGTGCTTTGCCTCCCCTTCTGCTCTGAGGGGTTGTGTACTTTATGACAAAATGCCAAGAGTTATGGAGCTATTATGCTGAAAAATTGATTGTCGTCAAACATATGACAGGTACAGAGCAAGGGGGTCACAGTGTGGGATTAGGAAATACTAAAACAACAACAACAACAACAACAAAAAACACCTCAGCACATAAGTAACATTGTAAAAACATTACAACAAAACTCGAAAATTTGCACAAGTGGAGACATAACAGCCTTCCAAGGCAACTGTAAGGGAGCCAATGAAGATAACAAATGTTTTTGGGACAAGCAGACTGTCATGTGAATGAACCAGACTTTGGTTTCAGCTTTATCTGGCTTTATTGCTCGGGATCTCAAAACAGCACATCACAGAACATATACCCGACTCGCTAACCATGTGCATCACACAACTCCCTGTATGACGTCATCACGTAGCCTACACACTCGCTATGGTGGCTTAAAAGAACAACTGCATGAGAATAAGCAATCTCACAACATCTCCCCCCTTTTAGAAGAAAAATAAACATTACCAGTAAACACGGAAATTATTACTTGCTACTGAAAAACCTTTTTCTTTTACATCTGAACTTACCACTTATTGGGCAGACAACATGTGCAACCATATCACCATATATACCGTAAATAACCGGTAAAACGCAAAACAGTATCTGGCTCCATTAATATCACACATACGACATAACATTCTCCCTTCCATTTTTCTCTCTTTTTTTTCAACAACAATAACAGCCTCACACCCTCTCTCTCCTCACCGAACACCGCACATCATTGGGGTAGACTATCCTCAGTCCAGAAAAGGGATTATTCTGCTCTTATGACAGGGAATGGGGCGTTCTTCCTTCAAAGGGCTCTGCTTTCATGCATCGCCTGCAACGACAAGGTGTTCCCAAGCACAATTTGGTATTTTGGTGAGCGGCGCAGCCCGGCGTAAGTATCCCCCCTTCCTAACTCTGCTCCTCCCAGTGGCGTAAGTCGTAGGGAGGGAGGAGAGAGGGCGCGGAGTGGGTTTAACACAGCCAAGACCTGTATTGACCAATAACATAAGCTCCTCTCCTCGCCTTTAAATCCGCCCCCAGCGAGGCATATTACAATTTTTGTTAAGTAGCCAAAGAGATCAAGAGATGTCTGAAGACAGCAATGCCACACGATGGCAACAGAAGGCAGTCCCTCAACAAGTGTCGCTGTAAGCGCTGCAGAGGGTGTCCTGCACACTGTCTCATATAAGCACAAATGGATTTGGTGTGTGTAATGTTGGACCCACTGGTAAGACAAACACCCTTTTCCACAAATAAAGACACTCACATAAAGTTGCATGAATTAAACCTCACGTGACAAAGGTGGGTTGTGCGCACAGATCACAACATAAATTCCAATAATGGCATAAAAGTCGGAACCATCTGTGCATAAATGACGCTTCGCGCTCCTTGGCCTGGCTCTTTCTTTAATAGATGTTGGCATATAAAAAAAATTTGGCTCACAAAACTGATTATTATAATTTTCGTATGTAGGCTTAAAGTAAAAAACTCATCTAATCACTGAAACAAATCATCTGTTCAGCCGCCGCAGCAGCAGCTGCAGCAGGACGGGGAGAGGACACGGAGACATGTCCAGGTTGAGCTGCATGAGAAATAAGAGGAAGAGGAATAAAGAAAAGGAGGGAGACGAAAAACATAGCTTGTTAACTTCATCATATGTGTCTATTTACCAGATATTTAATTTAATTTAATTTAATTTAATGCGGTTTCAGCTGTGTTAATTCGGTCAGGTTGAGTGTCCAAACGCATGCCAAATGCGCTCATCAGATCGGATATAGATCAGAATATATCGATATAGATCTAAATGCATGTGCTGACTTAGATTATTAGTTGTTTTTTGATTATTTAATGCACTGAAATGTGCCTGACACTGTGGGAGCCTGCCGGTGAGGGATCGGTGACGTATGCTGACATGCTGCCGGTCTACCAAAATACCTCTAGACCAGGGGCCTCATGTATCAACACTTGCGTGGAACTCATACCAGAAACGAGCGCACGCAAGGTCCGTCACGCTGAAAAAAATCCGTATGTATCAATGTGTGCGGGCGCCGAAATCCACGTGTGTTTCCTTGATAAATCCCAATCAGCGTGGAATTGAGCGCAGATGTCGGAGTGACTGGGCCCGTCCCCGTTACGCCCTCCTATAAATATGCAGATTTATTTAAATAGGGTCTCCCTGTCCTCGCACGCAGACAAAATGACAAGAAAAACTAAATTTACGGCGTGCGAGGTGGAGGTGCTGGTGGCGGAGGTGGAGGAGCGACAGCGTGTTTTGTTTGGCAGCCTGTCCAGTGGCGTCAGTGCAAAACAAAAACGCTTGGAGTGGGAGAAAGTTTGCGAGAGGGTGAATGCGGTGGGTTCCGAGACACGCACACCCGCGGAGATTAAAAAAAAAGTGGTCGGACCTCAAGGTGGAGGTCAAGCAGCGTACAGCTGCCCTCCGGAGGAGTATCGGCCAGACAGGTGGGGTCCGGGGGAGGAGACCCTCACATCGTTTGAGCAGCGGGTGTTGGCGATTATTATTATTATAGGGTAAGTGGCGTGTCACACAAATGTCCACATGCTTTGTCATCCCACTGAGCAAAAGACGTATATTAGACGTCTAGTCTAAGTTTATACTTCATTTCAATGTCGGGATTCAGTCTATTTTTAGATGTGATGTATACTTCGCCCTTAACTTCATTTTTCGATAACTTTTTATGCAATAAACAACTGTAATGTGCATAACTGACCTCGAAATACTGGATTACATTACCTATGATACCGTGGAGAGAGATGTAAACGCAACAGATACACAGAAGCAGGAATTGAAATGAACTAATATTTTTATTGTGTCACAGAAATCAATGTGTCGGCCGTGTCGCCGGCTTGCGGAACCCCGGCCCGCGGCAGCCCGTCCGCCGGCTCGGAGTCATCGGCCAGGACCAGCGGCATTCGGGCCACCCCTGCTCCCGGCCCCAGCACCAGCACCAGCATCAGCACCAGCGCGCCGACAAGCGGTGGAGCGTCCACCAGCCGCGGCGCTTCCGCTGGACCACCCGGACGCAGTGGAAGGGTCCTCGCGGAGGGGGTCCTGCAATCGCAGGAAGAAATCATCAGGGGGATCGCGGGGATCAACGAGCGGCTGGACCGGCTCGTAAATGTCCTCGAGCGTCTGGTGGCAAAAAGAAATTAATTTGGCTCATTGAACTGTGTATTCACTTCTTACCCATTCACACTGTGGCGATGAGATTCTCCCGCGCGAGGACGGCGGCCCGGCAGGGATCAGCTCGCATCCCTCCGCCTGCTGCTGGTTCGTCATGTGGGGCGACGTGCTGCTCGGCCACGGGGATGTGGTGCACGCTTGTCACATAGTGAGTCACCAAACACCGCCACACAGCGTCGCCAAAGTGCGAATCACAGTCAACGCAAGTATCGGCTCAACGCCAATTTCTACACCACCTCCTGACTTTGCGTTGATTAGCGCTGGAACCGACGCTCGTTTCACGATGATAAATCTGGACGTGTGCGCCGATTTTGGCGGACGCAAGGTTTTCTTGTGCCGCAAGCGTTGATACATGAGGCCCCTGCTGCGCTCCGCCTGCGCTGAAAGCTGACCAGGTTTGAATTGGCAAGCTTTCAGCGCACTTTACATGCCGGCAGTGAGCACGAAAATGTCACTGCGCCAGCTGATTCTGTCGACACCTCCCCCTGCCGTGCCACGACACGCAGCTTGGCGGACCTCAGTGCGCCTCAGTCCACGAAAATACCAAACTGGCTGTACGCCAGACTTTGCCAGACGAAAATACCACTGCGCGGGGTCCATCACCCTCTGCCGCATCGCCATCGGTCACGAAAATAGAGCCCAAAGTCTCTCCGTCTGTGTTCCCTGAAAACGAACACTACACCGGGTTAATAGAGAGAACTTCAAAGTCAATGTTTCTGTTAGTCTCCAAGAGACAGCTTGACCTCTCGGCCCCTGGTGGTCAGCTTCTGGGGAGTGCTGGACTGGAGAGGAGACTGAGGGGTTGAACCTGAAAATAGCGGGTTGCGGCAGGTTGTGTGGAGCCACTGCCACCTTGACAGGGGAACTGCATTTCGGCTATGGGACAGGAGCAGCCGATGCTGATGTGCCACAGGACTGGTGGCCTCGGGGACAGCCTGAAGATGTTGCCTGTTGCGACGAGTCACTGTGCCATTGTCCATTTCCACCACATAAGATCTCGGCTCCTGAGACTTACTTATGACTGTTGCAGGGGTCCTCCATTTTTGTCCCCGTCAAGCTTTACTTGGACATTTTGATCGGGGTGCAGCTCAGAGAGAGGACGAACTGAATGTCTACGGTTGTAAAAGTACCTGTATGCATCTGTAGCTGCGGCATTTTTCTGGTATATGAGGTCCCAGTTGGCTGGCTTTGGCGTTAATGATGTCTCCATTACTGGGTCGGTGGTGCGAATTTGTAATCCTGTCATCAACTAACTCACTTCGGTCGCGGTGAGCATTGTAACTACCAGTGGTTCTCATCTCTGTGTGGGTTTCTGCTCTGCACAGCAGTCACATGAGTTCACTTTCCTGGTGATGTGGACCACAATGCCAGCCACCAGACTGTTAACCAGGTTTGCTCACAACACTTGGTGAGGCCCTGGTGACCTTCATGCAGCTGATTTAAGATGTTGGATCTGACTGCTGTTGGGATGACAATGCAATCATGGTACAGTACAAGACTGTCTGATTCATAAAGGTGAGCTCTGGCTGTGTGAAATCCTTGCAGAGGGGAGAACTCTGCCATCCTCTGCGGCCACCCTTTTCTGATGAACTTGGTCACTTTTTCCAGTTCTGCATTATTCTGCGTCACTCTTAGGTGGTTTTATTGGCTTGCTAGCCACTGCAGCATTAACATATGCTCTGAGCAGATCGTCAGTGTCTGGCATGTGGTCTCCATTGAGAGTGCATCTTCCACTGCCAGCTGTTCCCCTGGGATGTGCTCTGCAACAACATCAAACCGCATTAGGCGCATGAGCAGTTGTCCAGGTTGTAGGTTTTAATTAATGGTACCAATGGCTTGTGGTCTGTTTGAAGATGGACTCTGCTCATCCCCTGAATGTAATGGGCAAAATGCTCACAGGTCCGGACACACACCAAACACTCTTTCTCAATTTGGGAGTATCTTTTCTCCGTATCAGTGAGGGTGCCAGAGCAGGGGCGACTGCTTGCAACTCCCCCTCGTGGTCCTGCAGCAAGGCGGCGCCCAGGCCATAGCTGCTGGCATCTGTGCTGACCAATGTTGGTCGGCTTCTGACATAGTGGCACAATGCTGGTGCTGCTGCAAGAGTTGCTTTTGCTTTGTTGATTGCCTTCTTCTGTGACTCACCCCAAAACCACACAGTCTCTTTTCTGAGCAGGCCCATGAGCGGGTGCAGCATGGTCGACAGACCAAGAAGGAATTTCCCCACATAGTTGATGGGTCCAAGCACCTGGCGAAGCTGCTCCACATTTGTAGGAGCAGGCAGTTTGGCAATAGCCTCCACTTTGCTGTTGTCTGGTTTCACACCATCAGCGCTGATAATGTGTCCAAAGAACTGCAGTTCAGTCTGTCTAAAGTGACACTTTGCTCTGCTGAGCTTGAGGCCTTAAACTTTAATTGTGCGTAGCACCTCATCCATGCACTGGTCGTGTTCCTCCCTGTCAGCCCTGTAGACCAGGATGTCATCCATCACGATAACGGTTCCCTCCAGGCCCTTGAGCAGAGTGCTCATGAGACGCTGGAAGATATTGGGCACTGATGTAATCCCAAAGGGCAAGCGTTTAAAGCAAAACCTGCCCATGGGGGTTATGAACGTGGTCAACTTCTGGCCACTGGGATCCAATGGGATCTGCCAGAATCCACTTGATGCATCCAGTTTGAAGAAGACTGGCTCCAGCTAGCTTGGGCATTATGGTATCCAGTGTGGGTAGAATGTCTGACCTCATCTTTGTTGCACTTTGGAGCAAGCACCATTGGTGCACACCAGTTGGTAGGTTTGGTGACTCGGTCTATGATTCCTAGGCTGAGCATGCGCTTTAACTCTTCTCCCACTTTTGGGAGAAGTGGAAAGGGGACTCTGTGTTGGAAGTTCACACTGTATGGCATTGCATCCGCCGTCAGTTCTATTTTAACAGGCTCACAGTTCAGTAGTCCTATTTCCCCAAACACATTGTCTGTTACGCTGCTGTTGATCTCATTCACTCGTGCAACCAGCCCCATTTGCTTTGCTAGCCTTCACGCTCGCTACGGTGGCATAAAGGAACAACTGCATGAGAATTAGCAATCTCACAACACAGACTTTGTAATTTTCTGTTGTTGTGGAACTTTTTCCTCTTCCGTCGCTCCTTGTGAATAATGAAATAGAGACTTCTGCCGGCCAACAGGTTTTATTTCCTTTGCAAAGAAAAGGTCGATCTTCATCTGAGCAGAAAAGACCCCGAACAAGGGGAAAACAGCACATTATATGCTTGCTTGAGGAGAGGGGGGTTTGGTTGTAGAGTCTTGTGATGGACCAGGCATTTCAGGACGGGCTGTTTCTGAGCTTGCTTGTGGTTGCGGCCTGCTCTCGCTGGGTGTTGCAGAGTTGTACAGTGGTGGTGCTGAAGGATGGTAAGGTGGGTTGCCGTCAAGGTCTGGATCCAGCTTCAGAGCCGCCAACTGTGGATACAAAGAAGAAGAGATCTGCGAGTTCTGTGTTCTTTGTTTATGTGAATCTGGCTTCTCAATCGTTTCAACCTTTTCGCATGAAAAGGGTAGTTGTTTTTGCATTAACTTTTTATTTCTTATCTCTGCGTCCGTTTTCTACATCTGTAAACATTCTTTTTGACCTTCAATGAGTTCTAATTTTCTTACAGACACTTTTTTCTTCCTTCTCATTTTTTGTTCTTTTGCCTTCAGTTTTTCTTCTAGTTTTGATATGTTTTTTAAACTGAGGGACCCCCCTGTTGGGAATCCAAACTCAGTGATCCAGACATTTAAATATTTTAAGCTTTTGTCCCCACATTTCTTTCTCATGATCTCAACAATCGGCCCTTCCAGGGGTCCAACCTCACTGGAAAGCTTGCCCCCCCATCCAATGGGTTTGTCGCGACAAATTCCACGCAGACGTCCCTGCGCTTCGTATCACTTTGTTCAAATGCTAAGTGGAAAAAGCACCCCCCCCCCCCCCCCCTCCGTTTTAAGAAAGGCTACAAGTGGGAAAAAGCATTACTTTCTTTAATGTAAACAATTACTTGTCTGTTTAAAAAAAAAACATTACTTCATTTTTTTCTCCAAGAAAGGCTACAAGCAATGAAAAAAGCATCCCTTGCTTCGTTTTTTTCTCCAAGAAAAGGCTACAAGCAGGAAAAGCATTACTTTCTGTAAGGACTACGAGCAATACAAATTACTACAAGCAATAAAATTTATCACTTGTCGGCCCTAGAAAAAATAACATTACTTCGGTATGCTTCAAGTAATGAGAAAAGCCGCCAAGTATGGAGATCATGAGAAAAAATGTCATGCCTAATTAAAACCCAAATTTTAAAGAAAAGGAAAGTCAATATTTCAGTGCTCACCAGATGAATTTGCTGAATTTTGTTCGTGGAATCCCAGCGGCAATGATCTGGGGCGGTTTTGGTCAGTCCTCCCTTCTCACAAAAGGATTTGAGGTCTGGAGGCTGGAAATCTTTTGTTTTTGCTCCGTCCCAGACGGTTGCCCGAGGGATCCCACTTCTGACACCAAATTGTTGTGGAAGTTTTTCCTCTTCCGTCGCTGCTGGTGAATAATGAAATAGAGACTTCTGCCGGCCGACAAGGTTTTATTTCCTTTGCAAAGAAAAGGTCGATCTGCATCTGAGCAGTTCAGAATCCAGAAAAGACCCCGAACAAGGGGAAAACAGCACATTATATGCTTGCTTGACGACTGCCTCTCAGAGGGCAAGGAATGGGGCTCTGATGTTGGCACCTTTTGTTTTCTGTGGGGACTGTCACTCCACTCCACCCCCCCCCCCCCACCCCCGGGGTGGTGGTGGGGATGTTTCACACCTGGAGTATCCTGCAGGATGTTGATTCTTGATGTCTCAACCTCATGATTAATCTGATATGTTGATTGGAAAGTCTGTTGTGAGAGGCACCTCAAGCAGTTCTTAAAGACATTAAATTTACAATTACAATTCTCCCTTTTGATTATTAATTAATCACTAACAAAAAAAACAAACTTAAAAGTTAAAATAAAGTAAAATAGAAAAAAAAGAAAAGAGAAAAGAAAAAAAAATCATATTACAACTCAATTATCTGACACATTAATTCACATAGATTTAAAATGTATTTCATGGCAGTTGTTTAGAGAAGAAGAGGGAGAAGAAGAGGAGCAAAAAGATCCATCTTCCCTCAGTTGGTATGATGTCGAGAGTGAGTCTGTGTTGGATGACTGCTGTTCTAATTGCAAACATTTCAGTGTTCATTAAGGTGGGAGCAGCTTCAGGAAAGAACAGACCAGGGGCCTTATGTATCAACGTTTGCGGCGCAAGAAAACCTTGCGTACGCCAAAATTGGCGCACACGTCCAGATTTATCATCGTGAAATGAGCGTCGGTTCCACCGCTAATCAACGCAAAGTCAGGAGGTGGTGTAGAAATTGGTGTTGAGCCGAAACTTGCGTTGACTGTGATTCGCACTTTGGCGACGCTGTGTGGCGGTGTTTGGTGACTCACTATGTGACAAGCGTGCACCACATCCCTGTGGCCGAGCAGCACGTCGCCCCACATGACAAACCAGCAGCAGACAGAGGGATGCGAGCTGATCCCTGCCGGGCCGCCGTCCTCGCGCGGGAGAATCTCATCGCCACAGTGTGAATGGGTAAGAAGTGAACCCCTCCGCGAGGACCGTTCCACTGCGTCCGGGTGGTCCAGCGGAAGCGCCGCGGCTGGTGGACGCTCCACCGCTTGTCGGCGCGCTGGTGCTGATGCTGGTGCTGGTGCTGGGGCCGGGGGCCGGGGTGGCCCGAATGCCACTGGTCCTGGCCGATGACTCCGAGCCGGCGGACGGGCTGCCGCGGGCCGGGGTTTCGCAAGCCGACGACACGGCCGACACATTGATTTCTGTGACACAATAAAAATATTAGTTCATTTCAATTCCTGCTTCTGTGTATCTGTTGTGTTTACATCTCTCTCCACGGTATCATAGGTAATGTAATCCAGTATTTAGAGGTCAGTTATGCACATTACAGTTGTTTATTGCATAAAAAGTTATCGGGCGAAGTATAAATCACGTCTAAAAATAGACTGAATCCCGACGTTGAAATGAAGTATAAACTTAGACTAGACGTCTAATATACGTCTTTTGCTCAGTGGGATGACAAAGCATGTGGACATTTGTGTGACACGCCACTTACCCTATAATAATAATCTCCACCACCCGCTGCTCAAACGGTGTGAGGGTCTCCTCCCCCGGACCCCCACCTGTCTGGCCAGTACTCCTCCGGAGGGCAGCTGTACGCTGCTTGACCTCCACCTTGAGGTCCGACCACTTTTTTTAAATCTTCGCGGGGGTGCGTGCCTCGGAACCCACCGCATTCACCCTCTCGCAAACTTTCTCCCACTCCAAGCGTTTTTGTTTTGCACTGACGCCACTGCACAGGCTGCCAAACAAAACACGCTGTCGCTCCTCCACCTCCGCCACCAGCACCTCCACCTCGCACGCCGTAAATTGTCATTCTGTCTGCGTGCGAGGACAGGGAGACCCTATTTAAATAAATCTGCATATTTATAGGAGGGCGTAACGGGGGCGGCCCCAGTCACTCCGACATCTGCGCTCAATTCCACGCTGATTGGGATTTATCAAGGAAACACACGTGGATTTCGGCGCCCGCACACATTGATACATGCAGATTTTTTTCAGCGTGACGGACCTTGCGTGCGCTCGTTTCTGGTATGAGTCCCATGCAAGTATTGATACATGAGGCCCCAGGCTAGTCCATTAATTTTGTTTAGGGCTGCAGCCGTTTCACCCCCTAGAAATAGAGACCATCCAACATTGGCGTTGGGAGCAGTCCAGGGGTCAGGTGATGCATGGTGTGGTCTGGGGGGCTAATCAGCGTCAGTTGAATTCTCGGAGTGAATTCCTCGTGTCGTCCTCCTTTGCGTCTGTTCATCTGTACGTCGTTTGTCCTCACGTCGGTCGTCCTCGCGTTGTCGGAGTTGGTGGTTTGGATCATCTGTTGGCTCCGGGACCTTCCTGCAGTGGCTGGCGTGAACCCACGTTGCTCTCTCAGCGATCTTCACAGTGGTATGTGTCATCAGAAGCACCTGGAATGGACCTCGTCACCGTTTGGAGGTGGTTCCTTCTCGAGTCCTTTATCATCACCCAGTCGTCAGGCTGGAAGTCGTGGAGGGATGTGGAAGCTGGTGGTGGAAGGGCTGATTTCACCTGCTGGGAGATTTGAGAGAGAGTGCAGAATAAGTTCTTGCAATATTGTAGCATTTCATCCTCACATAGGCCAGTGGAGGGGAGTGGCCTGGTTACAGGCTCCACTCCAAGGGACAGGGGTCTGCCAAAAAAGAATTTTACAAGGACTCATGTTTTACTCTGGATCTTTTCCTGATTATCATATCCATTAGAACAATCCGCAGAGCTTTTGTCCATGGCAGTCCTGTTTCGTCACAACGTTTGGCCAATTTTGATTTCAGAGTGCCAGTCTCTCGTTCGACAGCACTCCCACTGGCAGGGTGATATGTGCAATGTTGTCTGGGGTCAATGGCAAGAAATTTACTGATTTGGGTTATTGCAGAATTTACAAAGTGAGAGCCATTATCGCTGTTCAGTTGGTATTTCCCATCTGGGAGTGATTTCTGTTAACAGAGCCTTTGCTACCACTAGGTGACAGCTCTATGAAATCCATCATTAAGTGTTTGAATGGTCTGTCTGGTGGTGGGTGAGCAGCGTGTGTGATTGTTTTGGTTTTACCTGCGTTATGCGTTGCACAAACCATACACAATTGACAAAACTTCTGCGCATGAACTGAAGACCCTTTGGTGAACCAGTGTTGGGTTATGGCATCCAACATTCCCGCTTTTGACACATGGTCCAACCTATGTGTCAATTTTGCAAAGTGAGGAAAGAAGTGTTTAGGTAGGCAAGGTTTATTATCGGGTCCTCGTTATACTGCATCCTTTTGTGTGGCACCACAGCGTGTCCACAGCACCTTTTCCTGAGGTGTGGCAAAAGATTGCATTGCTGTGATAGAGGTGGGAACAGTGAAAGGAATCGATACTAATAAAGGATCAGTGATGGGTGGCTGGAGTGCGGCTTGTTTTGCAGCGGCATCAGCTGTAGCATTTCCTAAAGAGACAGGGTCTGAGTTGTTAGGGTGAGCAAGACATTTACAAACAGCAGCTGATTCCAGGAGCAAAAGTTAGCGACAACAGCAAAGCCGCCTCTGTTGCGACCAGTTTGTGGGTTGTGTGAGGCAGATCCATCTACAAAAAGAACCAAATCAGGATTTGTTAAATGTGTTTCTTGTAGGTCTGGTCTTTGGGAGCAAACCTGTTGGAGGATAGCAACACAGTTATGTTGTTCTCTATCGTCTGGTTGTGGGGAGAAGAGTGGAAGGGTTTAAAACATTGCATCTTTTGACGGTGATGTTAGACATTTCTAGAAGGACTGTGTTGTATCGTAGTCATCGTGCTGTGGAGAAATGATAAGTTTTTTTTGCTCAAGTAAAATCATAGACACAGCATGTGTCAGTAACATCAGAATAGCACACAATATCTTGGGAGACCATAACTGCCTTCTCAGCCGCAGCCACGGCTCTAAGGCATCTTAAGAGGCCTGCAGCTACCGGATCCAGTTTTGAGGAAAAATAAGCTACAGGGTGTAGCTTGTTCCTGTGAGCCTGCAACAAAACAGAAGTCATGCATTCATGTTTTTCATTCACCGTTTGAGTAAACGGTCTGGTGAACATTTGGAGCTCTGGGTTGGACTGCTGCATTTACTGCTTGCAGATCCTGAACAAACGTCATTCTGTAGGTTGATCTTTGTCTCTGATTTTCTTTACAGGGAACAAAGGCATGCGCACTGGAGAGTCGTTACAGGGAACAATTACTCCTACTGCTCTCAGGCAGCCAAAAACTGGTGTAATGCCATCAATGGCTTCTTGTTTAAATGGATATTGAGTCTTGCAAGGTCTGAAATCTGATATTTTGGAGTAATGATAACAGGTCTAAATCTTTGATGAGGCCAACATCATACTTATCAAAAGCCCACAGTGTCTTCGGGACTTGTTGCAGGGCTGCGATAGGTTCAGTTTGTTCTGTGGACAAACAAGAAAAAGGTTATAGAAGTGCTTTCAGGTACCAGCTGGATTATTCTCTGAGTGTGCACAACAGATGTTAAACTTTTTGAGTAGCACTGCAGTGTCTGTAAAAACAAACAAACAACAAACAAACAAACAAAAAACAAACAAACAAACAAACAAAAAACAAAAGGGTGGATCGATCAGATGTTTAATGCCAATTGGCAGCGCGTTTACATGCTATTATAAATGGGCCCAAATCTTCCCAGTCATCTATGGGATCTATGGGACCGAATGGTCCATTGTGTACATGTCACTTTGAGCTGGTGTGAGGGAGACTGATATAGCACATTTGTGTCGTGCCTAGGGTTGGGTATCGTTTGATTTTGAACGATTCCGATTCCAATTTCGATTCCTCATTTCGATTCCGATTCCTATCGATTCTCTAATTCGATTCTTTTAAAAGGCAGGATATCAAAAAGAAAAAAAAGCATGGTTTGAATGAGGGTGCTAACCGGGGCTCTTCTTTTTGGATGAAATTTCTGAACTTCTCCATGAATTTTTAAATCCTATTAACTTTTTAAGAACTTTACTATGAATTTCTCACAGAGCTATTTTCAACCAGTATATAAATATCAATTTTTGTTTTCAGGTCGTTTGTCTATGAAAAAGTACAAGGGCTAACGTTAGGTGGATATTTAAGTTTACTCACCGTACACAGTTCAATTTCTTTACCGTTTCAAAGTTAGCAGAGGACAGAAGTAATTTATTGTTTCACTTATCTGATCCTGACTGGTTAGCGGAAGACAGGTGTTGTGCTGTAGAATGCACCCCTGCCGTAGAATGCCTCCCCTCCACTGATTAGCTTCTTAGTGGAAGAAATATGATCTCATATTTAATAAAACACGGGTATTAGATCATGAAAACGTGTCAAATGGAGCAGTAAACTTTCGTTTTGTTTGTATGTGTCTCAAAAATGCACACATAAAAGTGTACTTGGGTATATAAACTGTAGAGTAAGCTGTTAATGTAGAGAACATAATATTTTCAGGACAGTAAATATTCCGAATCAGAGGGCTATTGTTTTCTGCATATCTGAATAGCCTGAATGAAATCATTAAAGGCACACGCTTTAGATTCCGTCCAACGGTAAGAAAAACTTGGATTGTTTCGCCTTGTTGTGTACTTTCAACCGCGCTCCCGTCAGGGGTGCATTCAACAGCAGGGGTGCATTCTACGACACAACACCGGCGAAGCGCGTCAAAGACGAGCACTCGGGTATTTCTCCTCCATGAATCCTGAGGTGTTTAATCATGTTGGTCGTTTACCCTCCTTTGCATGATATAACTGTATTGCTAATGTTGCATTGAGATAAGAGTTCATTCTTCCTGCTAAAGTTAGCCAAACTTTTGACCAACGAAGAAGAAGCTGCCGAACACCAACGAGGACGGAGCGTATGAGACGAAGCCACACAGAGAGAGGAGAGAGACAGTAGCTGCGTTTCCATTACATTTTTTCACAAAATAAAAGCGATGTTTATCAAATTTCGACAAAGTACAATTGCGATATGCGGGTGTTTCCATTGAATGGTGTTCAGTGCATAAGCGAGCCGTCTGCCTCTCGCGAGCCGTGTTTGAATGGCCGTTGCCTAGCAACGAGGTAAACTTCCTGCCCGTGCGACCTCGTATTCCTTAAGCCTTTTTGCACACCAACATGGACAAGACACAAAACATTTTGCGTTTTGGAGCAGCTATTTCTGTGACCATTACCGCTGTTGCCGCTGCTGTCATCAGAAGACGAAAGCAGCGGGTGATAATTCAAAGGCAAAGCTCGTATGTATGGGAGCGGACACGGATGAGGGATTTCTGGGAGAGGATCGTTAATGAGGAATTCACAGACGAATTGTGGATTCAAAACTTCAGAAAAATACAAATACAATTCAAAACTTCAGAAATAACTCTGTCTCCTCCCCCGTCCACACATACCGCACCATCTTTGCTTGAAATGAACTGGTCACGACCCGCTACGTCACGTCCGGTGACAGAGAGTTGCGAGAATAGTGTTTCCATTACACTTTTGCGATATACTTCTATATCGACACGTCTGAAAAACCACCTCATGAGAGCGTAAAAACTTTTTAGCGATATTTGAGAGGTTTTTCGAAATTTAGGTGTTTCCATTACCAGTTTTCTATTGCGATATTTAAGTTTTGCGCAAATCTATGGGTAATGGAAACGCAGCTAGAGAGAGACTGTAACCCACAGCGGCTGCATTGCTGTGGGTTGCAATGTACTTTCTCTCTCTGTCTCTCTCCTCTCTCTGTGTGGCTTCGTCTCATACGCTCCGTCCTCATTGGTGTTAAGCGGCTTCTTCTTTGTTGATTTTCGGCGGCTATTTCTTCCGGTCGGCGGACTCTGGCATCGAAACTTGGAATCGAAATTTTAATATTTGAACGATACCGGAAGAATCGAAGTTTTAGTCCCGATTCCCATCGATTCTCGATTCTCGATTCCCAACCCTAGTCGTGCCCAATAAATATGTGTCAGTGTGAGTTCTTCAAATCTCATCTTTAACCAACATTCCTCGTATGGCTCATCAGGTCCGGGTGACACGTGAGAGGTGCAATGCAGATCCTCTGGTGCCATAAAATCTGTTGCAGCTGTGGAAATTGTTTCCCTTGCTGAGAGAAACTCAGAAAAGGTTGTTAATGGTTGCAATTTCCACCGATATGCATAATTTTGGTGCAGGGTATGGTAGACAAAGGAGTGTGAAAAGTTTGGTGGCAGATCAGGTAGTCTGCAGACTTTGACACCTTCTGGGGTTGAGATTAGACAAAGGCCCAATTTGCACATCAAGTCCCTGCCCATCAGGTTAATAGGGCAGACTTCAGAGAGTAAAAATGCGTGTTTGAGGCTTGAACGTGACTCATCCATACATTTGAGTGGGACAGTAATGTTCTCTTTAATTGTTTGACCTGATGAACCAATAGAGTACACATGACTTCCGCTCAGATTAGGTTTTTGAGGGAATTCAGAAGTTTTTATCATGGAATGTGTTGCCCCTGAGTCGACCAGGAATACAATGTGTTGTTCTGTGATGATCAGCGTGTGTTCTGGAAACTTCTTAAACTGATCAGATGTGTACTTAACATATGTTAAAACAATCGCATGTGTATTGTCTGAGCTCTCTATGGATTGTGAATTGATGTGGTTGGCATGTGTGTGTGAGTGTGATGCAGTACCTTCTTCCTTCTTCACAAGTTGGTTCGGCTCGTCAGCAGGAGTCCATTCCTCTCCGACAACCCCCAACCATTGTCAGTCCGATTTGTCTATTGCGTCTGATGAAGTGTTGACAGGGCAATCACGTCTCCAATGTCCATGTTTGCCACACAGGAAACAGGCATCCCCTCGAGGTCTTTTATCCCAGTTTTTGTGATGGCCACGTCCTGTTCCTCTATGGCCAGGGTAGCGATCTCCATGTTCCTGGATTGTGTTGTACATGGTTATTGCGGCCAAGTGAAGCTCTTTCTGTGTTGTCTCTTCTTTTTTTGTGTTCTGAGAGAGTATCTGGTCATGAGCATGTATGGCGTGTCTGCGAAGTTCAGACAGGCGTGCATCATCCCAACCAATGCAGGAGTTTTTTACAGCTGAGACAATGTTTGGTTTCAGTCCATTTAAGAAACTGTTACAGAGATGAATTTCCCACACACCTGGAGTGTTTCCTACTTCATTAGGTGGTTGAAGGCCACTGTGGGTGTTAAATGTGTCTGTCAGGCGGGTGAGATATTCATCAGGGTTTTCACCATTCTTTTGTTTGCAGGCAGTGATTTTCTCCATGTTAATTTTAGCAGGAAAAGCTTGGGTGAATGCGCTGCAGAGTTTATTTACAGCATCTTTATACTGGGCATTAGATTCGTCTTCCCAGGTGATATGTCTGCAGCGGAGATCAGCGTTTGGGAATTCTTTAGCTATTTTTTGCCAGTCTGTGGGTTTCATCTTGGTGATCAGGAGTCTCTTCAGTTCATTCATGGTGGGTTTAAATTCTTGGCAGAATGTGAGGAATTGTTCAGTAAACATTTTACCTGATGCTGTGGGGTTTGGCAGATGTTGTGAAGCGGCTGTGATGTCCTCAGAAGTTCATGGGTGAAAAACCAAAGTTGCGCCTTGTGGTCCAGATACTTCAACCATAGGCATGTTGAAGGCTGTCTTCTTTATTGGATTGACGTAGTCTGTGTGCAATTGGAGAGGGGGGTTTGGTTGTAGAGTCTTGTGATGGACCAGGCATTTCAGGACGGGCTGTTTCTGAGCTTGCTTGTGGTTGCGGCCTGCTCTCGCTGGGTGTTGCAGAGTTGTACAGTGGTGGTGCTGAAGGATGGTAAGGTGGGTTGCCGTCAAGGTCTGGATCCAGCTTCAGAGCCGCCAACTGTGGATACAAAGAAGAAGAGATCTGCGAGTTCTGTGTTCTTTGTTTATGTGAATCTGGCTTCTCAATCGTTTCAACCTTTTCGCATGAAAAGGGTAGTTGTTTTTGCATTAACTTTTTATTTCTTATCTCTGCGTCCGTTTTCTACATCTGTAAACATTCTTTTTGACCTTCAATGAGTTCTAATTTTCTTACAGACACTTTTTTCTTCCTTCTCATTTTTTGTTCTTTTGCCTTCAGTTTTTCTTCTAGTTTTGATATGTTTTTTAAACTGAGGGACCCCCCTGTTGGGAATCCAAACTCAGTGATCCAGACATTTAAATATTTTAAGCTTTTGTCCCCACATTTCTTTCTCATGATCTCAACAATCGGCCCTTCCAGGGGTCCAACCTCACTGGAAAGCTTGCCCCCCCATCCAATGGGTTTGTCGCGACAAATTCCACGCAGACGTCTCTGCGCTTCGTATCACTTTGTTCAAATGCTAAGTGGAAAAAGCACCCCCCCCCCCCCCCCCCTCCGTTTTAAGAAAGGCTACAAGTGGGAAAAAGCATTACTTTCTTTAATGTAAACAATTACTTGTCTGTTTAAAAAAAAAACATTACTTCATTTTTTTCTCCAAGAAAGGCTACAAGCAATGAAAAAAGCATCCCTTGCTTCGTTTTTTTCTCCAAGAAAAGGCTACAAGCAGGAAAAGCATTACTTTCTGTAAGGACTACGAGCAATAAAAATTACTACAAGCAATAAAATTTATCACTTGTCGGCCCTAGAAAAAATAACATTACTTCGGTATGCTTCAAGTAATGAGAAAAGCCGCCAAGTATGGAGATCATGAGAAAAAATGTCATGCCTAATTAAAACCCAAATTTTAAAGAAAAGGAAAGTCAATATTTCAGTGCTCACCAGATGAATTTGCTGAATTTTGTTCGTGGAATCCCAGCGGCAATGATCTGGGGCGGTTTTGGTCAGTCCTCCCTTCTCACAAAAGGATTTGAGGTCTGGAGGCTGGAAATCTTTTGTTTTTGCTCCGTCCCAGACGGTTGCCCGAGGGATCCCACTTCTGACACCAAATTGTTGTGGAAGTTTTTCCTCTTCCGTCGCTGCTGGTGAATAATGAAATAGAGACTTCTGCCGGCCGACAAGGTTTTATTTCCTTTGCAAAGAAAAGGTCGATCTGCATCTGAGCAGTTCAGAATCCAGAAAAGACCCCGAACAAGGGGAAAACAGCACATTATATGCTTGCTTGAGGACCGCCTCTCAGAGGGCAAGGAATGGGGCTCTGATGTTGGCACCTTTTGTTTTCTGTGGGGACTGTCACTCCACCCCCCCTGGGGTGGTGGTGGGGATGTTTCACACCTGGAGTATCCTGCAGGATGTTGATTCTTGATGTCTAGACCTCATGATTAATCTGATATGTTGATTGGAAAGTCTGTTGTGAGAGGCACCTCAAGCAGTTCTTAAAGACATTAAAATTACAATTACACTGTCTACCTTCAGTCTCTCTGGTCTCTGATGGCGTCGACCTAAATATCCAAATGTGATGGCCAAGTCAGCCAAGCCGGGCTGTCAGCTTCTCCAATGTGCGAAAGCTTTCATCAATCACAACCAGCCTGCAATTTTGATTAAGATGCCCTGTACATTCCCTCAGTCATGACGGACAGCTTCCCGATTGCCAAAACTTCTGCCAACGTCCTCCGAACAGGTGGATGGCTCATGGAGCACACAAAAAGGACGACTAGGAAACTATTGCATAGTCCCTGTACCACAAACCAATCTGCTACTAACTGTTGACGAGAAATGAGCTAAAACTTTTTCAGTTTGCCCGTGTTGCGAATAAAAGACCCCACTTATTTAGTCTTTTGTCACTACCAACTTATATACTCATGGGTGTTTAAAGGAATTGGACTATTGGAAAATATAGAAATAGTATGACAATTGATGTCACTGGCATACCCTGGTCAATAATTTCAAAGTTTTAAGGAAAATGTAAAAGTAATTATGAGAGGAATATCTCTTCTCCTGCCAGGGACTCTTTATTTCCACACCAGTGGCACTAACAGCACATGACCTCTTTGTTGGTCTCCCACATTGTCAGCAGACCACTGCATGTACAAGTGTAGATGCCATCACAGTTTGTCATAAGGGTTCTCACCAGTGTGCTCTGAGGATTATTATGAAATAAATCTTATATTATACTCATCAAATAAAATAATACACCTGAGTATTGTTTGCTATCTGTGATTGTCAAAAGGAGGTCAAAAAAGGTTAAAAAAAAAATAAATAACACATTTCAAAGACAGGCTGTTGGTCTTTGACACTCATGCTCTGCAGTTACCTCAGTTTTGGTTTATCTAAATCTCTGTGATGAACAGAAGTGTGAAATACAATGCCTCTTCTTTTACTTTGTAGTGTAATGTTTGAACTAGGTCACTCATCCAAAGAGACTTAGGTACGGTCAGTGAGAAGAAAAGAACCATCAGGTGCTTGAATTGAGGATTTGGCTTATGGTTTTGTTTATCAGCTTACAGAGAAACAGGCTAGAGACCAATACCACACAGCTTTGTGCATCTATAAAGTGAAAAAGTTGCTGCAAGGAAGAAAGATAACTTTGTCTCTGTCCTAGATTACTAAAATATGTCTCCTCTGGATTTCCTCTTTCTTAAGTTTTTGTATTGTTTTTGAAGCAAGGCTGACACTTTGTGAAACAAAGGGGAAGGGACCTTTTGCCCTTGGGTGACACATGCAGGTACAAGTATTTTGGCAGCTGATTGGTGCAAAAAGTTCTGGCTTACCAAAGTAGCAGCACCACCCAACATCATCCCTTAAGATGTCCTGGTAGTTCCTGCAGATCCTCCCTCATTCTTCTCTTCCCCTGACTCCCGCCCTTTGCTATTGTAATGCAGGGAGGGAAAGAGAGTATTGAAAGTCTTGTTTCCAGCAGCTGCCGTGCAAGTCTCTGTTGAGTTTTTCCTAATTACCTCCCAAAGGAGCCCGACTGCTGTCAGACAAAAAGAGAGGAGGGTGAAGGCAAGATAGAAGGGGGGATACCAAGTAGGTGATAGGATGAAAAGAAAGACAGAATGTCGACAGGAACAGGGAGACAGCAGTACACAGTGATAAAAGAGCAATGTAGAGAAATGAGAAGAGAGGCAGCAATAAGAGGCTTCCATGAGATCTTCCATTTGGCTTTAGTTTACTTACTTGACTATCACTTAAGCTCTGAAAACCTGAAAACAGGATTTAAAAAAAAATATGTAGCCCAGTCTTGGGTTTAAAAATAGATGGAGAGTAATTATTTTATCCCCACTGTACAGCTGTTAATGGTGATAATGTTCTGATGTGATGTGTACCCAAACATACAAACATACAGAGACAGGATTTCGGAAGAATGTTCCCACTGTCCAATAAAAAAGTGTCTTTTATTCAACATTTTTTCTTTTGTTATTCTGTCTTATTCAGCTGGATCACCATTCCTCACCAACCACGTCGTCTTCAGGAAGCATGGATTTATTTAAGCAGTTGAATGCTGCAGCATTTTGTGTAATGTTAAAACATTAGATATGGTTATCAGCAATGTTTCATGGAGATCAAATAGAAATCAAATCTGTTTTTCGTGAGAAGCTTTACTTTACATTAAGTCCTACATTAGAGATCACTTTCAAACTTGTTGGAGAAAATAGCCTGTTAATTAATCGTCTGATTAATATACTGACTTATTAAATCTGGAAGTAGATGTCTGACCTCTTTTACATAAGGAGAGATAAAAGGGAGGACAAAGAAGAAGAGACACGTAGCATGTATTGGCTTTGAAATAAAAACAAACCTAACCAAATACCAAACTAGATGACTGTGAAAAGGAAACCTGCAGTGACAGCAAGATTTGTGTGGATGCCTCTTCATTTAGGTTGCTTTGTTGAGCTGATAGATAATAAAAGAGAAAATATAGCTGGTCTGCAAGAATATGATGCATATTTAACTTTGAGGGAGTCAAATCAAACTGTTTCCACACATTTCCAGTTGGAAACATATGCATCCTCACTGTCCTCTTGAAGGTTAACTTTGGCCATGGGCTAAATTCAACTTCAGTGGGATTGTTGTCAACAGTTGAACTACTGTGGAGTGGTGTCAGGGTTGTAAGATATTATCCATAGTTGGAGGTGCTGACAATAGTTGGTCTGTGTCACACCTTCTACTTAAACAATTCTGAATGTTATTGCTTTAGATGTTAAGGGACTATTCATTCTTGCTACTATGTTACAACCACTTCACACTGGCTTTACCTTCTCTCATGCATTCATTTCATAGACATGCAAGTGAGTACACACCAATGCAGTTCCAACCAACATGCTATTAGATGGAACCAAATATTAATATATGTCATCAATGGCACTGGCATTAATGTCAGAGGGGTATGATAAATCAGTTGAGAGTTATTGAATGAGTCAAGAAATGCTGTGTTTTGATTGTTTTTCAACAGTCTAAGAGACAACTCTAGGAAAAAAATTCCAATGTGTCCCAGTTACCCTTGAGTTCTTATTCCAAGTATGAGCATACACCTGCTTTGGTAAACATTAGATACACATGGTACTCTAAAAGGAAAATCAGAGATTAAATACAAATCACAAGTTTGGTTTTGGTTCGAACATTTCCTGTGATATTCCACTTACAAGTAATTAAGAATATTTGTTCCTGAACCTTTCTAAATTTGCTGCTTGACATTAACCAGGTGTATGGCATGCTATGGGAGTACTGTACCTTGGGTGCCTGTTTAAGCTGGAAAGGACACCATGAGCACCTGGATAAATTCCAGTGAAGCATGACAATGTAGGTTTAACTGGTTTAACCCTCTGATTGGTCAGACAAACTACCACAAAACTACAACCACCAAACAGCCTTCCAAAATCCAATGGCAGATTTCTTTCATAATCTGAAGCAGAAATTAACATTTATGGACTTAGACTAGATTTGTATGACACCTTTCTGCTCAACAGGTCTATGAAGACACAACAGTCACTCTCAAGCATTACTCACCCCAACCTTGCTGAGCTTTACCAGATCATTTCAGCAACCATACACAGACCAATAATAATACATTTTATTTAAAAGCGCCTTTC